AAGCATCCTCACTACCTGAGAGGGAGAGAAGAAGAGGCAGGCATAGCTCCATCATGCTTAGGACCAGAAGCAGATGAAAGGCTCTCCCGCCATGCTAAGTGCCACTGCCCTGGCATCAGAGGGAGAAAAGAAGAGGCAGGTACAGCTCCATCATGCCTAGGTCCAGAAACAGATGAAAAGTGTTCCCTCCATCTCAGCTGTCACTGCCCTGGCATTGGAGTGAGAGAAGAAGAGGCAGATGACCTCCATCTTGCCTAGGCCAAAAAGCAGATGAAAGGCCCTTCCTCCATCCTAGCTGCCACTGCCCTGGCATTGGAGGGAGAAAAGAAGAGGCAGGTAAAGTCCATCATGCCTAGGTCCAGAAGCAGATGAAAAGCCCTCATGCCATCCCTGCTGCCACTGCCCTAGCATCGGAGCAAGAGAAGAAGTGGTAGATACATCTCCATCTTGCCTAGGCCAAAAAGCAGATTTTTCAGGCAGATTTTTGACCCTCCCTCCATCCCTACTGCCACTGGCCTGGCATCGGAGGAAGAGAAGAAGGGGGACCAAATTTTATTTTAAAAATTCAGGCTGATTTTCAGGTCCCAGCTGGCCAAAATGTGTACAATTCTGCAGTTTGCAATTCTGCAGTGAGGCACTAGAATTCTCTCTTACAGTAATAAATATCCTTCCCTAAACTACAAATCCCAGGAGCTCATAGGATGTTGATCTGGCAGTTAAAATGAAATCATAATACTATAACTGTGTGGTGTAAAATGGGCCTCAGTTCTTTCTTTCTCTAGTTGTGCAAATGAGAAAAACCGTACTCTCTGAATTAAAATAAAAGCATAGATAGAGTCTGTTACACTTGTGTGTGGGCCTAAAACTGGCAGTTAAAGGGTGATGAAGTCAGTGACTAAGAATAAAAACTAACAGAAATGATGGAAAAGAGGGCTATAATGAAGTGTGAACCATTCAGAAATTTCCTACAGTTTCTGAGTGGGGATATTTTATTGCTGCTAGCAAAGCAGAAGGTGATGCTGGAAGGCATTTATGGCTTGGAGAGAGATGGAAATGCTGGAGGAACAGATGAAATCTATTGACTCTTCCCCCGCGATATTTCAATTTTATTATTTGTCCTATGTTACTGATGTGCCAAACGGTGCATGCTTTGTAATCCAACATTCACAACCAATTACCATTAAAATAATAATAATAATAATAATAACACAACTGTCCTTTGCCAGTTTTTGCCATCTAGGGACAAATATTCCCTAGATATATGACTGCATGACTTATATTTAGCCTCAGCATATTGAAAACAGCAGTCAGTATTTGGTAGTGTGTGGCTGAAATTGTATTTTATGCTGATGGAACAAAAGGCTACAGCAACATACTCTAAGAAAAGTAAGGAAAAACATTGTTCAAAGGGATACTGGATACCTCCTTCAGTAACATCTATCTGCTCAATATGCAAAGTGAAAGAAGTTGACAGATTAACTTTCTTTGACAAAAGTTAACACGGCAACTTCTTTTACATGTCTCAAAGATGCTACAAGATCCCTTTGCATACTGATATTCCAGAGTAATGTGCCTATGGGTATATCTGTATTATAGAAATAATGCAGTTTGACACCAATTTAACTGCCTACAGAATCCTGGGATTTGTAGTTTTGTGAGGTACCAGCACTCTTGGGTAGAGTAGACTAAAGAACTTGTAAAACTACAAATCTCAGGATTCCATAGGAAGGTGCTACAGCACTTAACATGGTGTCAAACTGCATTATTTCTACAGTGCAGATGCACTCTCAGGCAGTTTGCGTTTGCCTGAGCCTAAGGGAAGGGCAAGGTTATGTCCCCCCCTCTTGACCTCTGAGTTACTTGCATTCAAACTATTTTTGCACTTTGAACTCAGTCTGGAGTAACTGAAATAAATTAAGGAAAAGAGGGGAAAGTGGAAGGAGAGAGAAACTGAGACATTTAAAAAAAAAAACTGGAAAAGTTGGATAACAGAGGATTAATCAGGAGTGTTCCTGTCAAAATGGGACCGTTTGAGTGTATGCCCTTCTGATCTAGTGGACTTGTTGTTGTTGTTGTTGTTGTGTGCCTTCAAGTTGTTTTCAAGTTTTCCAACTTATGGTGATCCTATGGCAACCCTATTATAGGGTTTTCTTGGCAGGTTTCTTCAGCAGAAGTTTGCCATTGCTATCCCTTGAGGCTGAGAGGGTGATATGCACCCAAGGTCACGCAGTGGGTTTCATGGTCAAGCATGGTCTCCTGAGTCTGGCTTAACACTCAGACCACTATGTCACATGGATTGGAGGGTAAAATTCAGGAATCTAATCCTTTCCTTTCCATTATTGGGGAAATTTTAAGTCAGGTGTGTGGAAGAGAGACTTCTTAACTTTCAGTAATTTCATCTCTGTCCCCTTACAACGTACACTCTTCAACATACAAATTAAGGGAGCTGGCATGTAATTCCTATGTGGGCATCCATTCAGATGCTGGCAAGAGCCAGACCAGCCTATCTTCAATAATTGCAGTGGTGATTATATCACATCCCATATAGGCTAATGCCTGAGGCCATCAGTTTTGCCTTCCAAACAAAACCTAGGACACTCCCACTCATTGCTAAGCCTGGCTTGTATGCTATAACAAAACCAATGAATTTAGCCCTCTGCTGTATATTGTTGTTCCCTTGCAATTATTACTCAAGACAGCATCTTCTTGTCCTCGACAACACTTCCCATTTGCGTACTAGATAAACAATTTGTAGACCACAACCAGGTCTCTTCTCTACTTGTTAACCCACAGGAAGAAATTTATAGTGACTCCTCGTGCCTGTGGCTAGAATCACAGAGGATGTGGCCACGTTGGGCTGTGTATCAACAACAGGCAGATAGTTCTGGTCCTGTTGTCTTTCTCACTGAAATCTGTTTGAACTCACTGGCTTGGTTTGCACCCACTCTTGCACATGTGTGTGCATACACACACACACAGGTTCTTTGCCAGCACTTAGGCCATGTGGTTTGGAATGAAACCTCTTATTCTCAATTCTATTGTACCTTTCCAAGGAGAAGCTGAAGATGCTCTTGGCATTGCAGAGCTTTTGCTAAACAGATGCATGCCCCTGTCCTCCCTTCTGTGATCCATGCTCCAGGTGCCAGTCAGAAATTGCTTCTGGAATTGCTATCCCAAAAGAAGGGTACATACAATTGCTAAATAATTCATGGTGGATCATGTTGTATGGCTGTCAAAGAGGAAACCGGAGGGGACCCTGTATAGAATAGTTGTATAGAAGAGAGATTTTCAGCAGGTGTTGCTTGTCATACAACTAGGTAACAAGCAACACCTGCTGAAATTCCCTCTTCCACAAGGTCACTCCCACCATGGCACAATCTTTCCGTCGTGGTGGGACTTCATGCTCCTGCGAGGCAAGAAGCTGTGCTGCTAGTAGCAGCACCACTAGTAGAATTTCCCATATCAAACAAGTTTTTCCTGAGCAGCCAGATAAATAGATACTAGGCAGCAGCAGTAGTGTGGGTGCTAGTGCTAATGCTTGTTAGTACTGTGCAGAAGGGGGAAATGATAAAACACTCCTGAAACCTTTCACGCTGAAAACCCTATGATGAGACAACACAAAATTTAAGATGTGATAGTGCCAGAAGATGACACTCACAGGTCAGAAGACGCTCAAGGAGCTATTGGGGAAGAGCAGAGGACAACTACAAGTAGCACTGTGGCTAATGATGCGACTGGACACAAACTGAAAGGATGTTTAGCTGTTGACATGTTCAGTGAAAGGAAAGTCTGAAGCTGCACAACACGTATTATAGGAACATGGAATGTGAGAAGCATGAATCAGGAGAAGCTAGACATAGTAAAACAAAAGAAATGGAATGTATAAACATTGCAATAATTGGCGTATGTGAGGTAAAGTGGACAGGAATGGAACATTTTGAGTCAGACAGTTACACCAATTAACACTCTGTACATGTTCAGAGGTACTCTTTTCTTTTTTTCCTCCTGAAAAACCAATACATTCCAGGGCTGTGATCTCATACTGGAATCAGACTTCAGAGCTACTAGAGCCTTGTTTAAATGAAGCTCTGGTGACCACACAGGCACACAATCTCAATTCCTGTGGCCCAGGAGGCACCCGGCCCATACAGGAAATACAGGCATTCTAAATTGTTGGCTAGCAAATATACAGGACTTTGGCAACCTATACACAGTGCTCTGTTTTAGATGAAGATGAATGGAATAGGAAAATTCAGCTATTAGTAGCCGTCCATCTGGTTTCTGAGCCATACAATTTTGGATATTTTTATTTTTTACATTTATGTTATTTGATGGATTCCTTTCCAGTCTCAAAGTAGAAACATGAAGGAATGGGTGGTGACATATGCTTGGGGAATTGAACTGCTGGATGCTGGCCCTTTCTCTTTACCATCCTTTCCACATCCAGTACTGCAAATTCACCTGCAGAGACAGGTGGGTTCCCCCCACCCCGCATCTAAATATTCATTGGATTGTGGCATCATTTTTTATTACACAAGACCACAGACAGTGAAAATACCTAGAACAAACTCTTGAAGCAGTATATAATATAGTCGATGTGTATGTCAAAAGTGGTATCGCAGTACAAAGATAAGCAAACACAAACAATGCACATATCACATGGTAGCAAGCCTATACATATTTGCTATTATTCTTATGTGCCTCAAGTTGACTCTGACGTATAGTTTTCATTGCAACGTTTATTCAGAGGATGATTGCCATTGCTTTCCCCTTAGGTCAAGAGATGTGTTTTGCCCAAGTTCAAGATTTCCATGGCTGAATAGGGATTTGAACCCTGGTCTTCTGAAGTCTAGTCCAACACTCAAACCACTACTTCACACCGGCCCCTATAAATATTTGGTTTTGTTGCTGTTGCAAGTCTTCAAGTCAAGTCTGACTTGTGGTGATTTATTCACTGGACATTTGCTATTGCCTTCCTGTATGGCTGAGAAAGTGTGTCTTACTCAAGGTCACCCAACAGTTTTCTATGACTGGTGTGAATTCGAATCCAGGTTTCCCAGAGTTTTTTTTCCATTTTTTTTGTTTGTTTCATTTTATTTTGCATCACTCCCTTGTGCCTTCCCTTGCTTCCACAAAGCAGTGCAGCCATTAATGGGGAGAGAAGCATTAATAGGTAGTGCATCTTAAAAAGTTGATACGTTATTGCTAACAAGGACCTACCCATATATTTTAAATATTCTAGGGCAAGGTAGGATGCATGTAGCTTCTAGTTTTACTGCCCCTGGAATTCACATTCATACCACATTTCAGTGGTTCAGTAGTTCATAAAACACGTATTTTAACTGTAACACAAGGACAGGAAACATATCCTTTGTTTGTGTAATGTCCTTTTCTTTACAACTGGGAGTCAGAAAACCCACTTCAGGTTGCTACCACACTGCCAAATTTTGGCAGCAATGCAGTTCAGTGCAGAGATGAGACCTGTGATGAAATCCAGGGGCATTTTCTTGTCAGTCTGGTGGTGAATCCATCCTGACTTTTCATTTGAACTTTAAAGGTGATGTCCAAGGTGTAGATCTCTAACCCCAAAATAGGCCCAGTACAATCCCAAATTAGGTCCAAACCCAGAGTGATTCACCATCTTACTGACATGGGAGCAACCAGGCACTACTGGTCGGATTTGGGAAGGAGTCAAATTGCTCCCTGGATTTGCCAAAAGTTGTCCACTTGTCTTCTTGTGGAAGCAGATTACCCAAATACTGTAGTGTTTTTTTCTCCTCCCTCTAAATGCTCTGCTTCCATGGATCCGCCAGTATCTCCTCTCTCTGTGACAATCCCATGCCCTTTGCCTAAGTTTTAACCCACAGCAGGCTATATAAGAGGGTGACAGATGGCTGGATCCAACCATCTGATGATGCTTGACGAGATCCGTCAGCTGACATCTTTAGACAGCTTCAAGAAAGCTGTC